AGAAAAAGGGACTTGGAAAAAGATAAACCTAACCTTGCTCCCTAGGAAGATTGTGGAGAAAGTTATTAAATAAGCAAAGTTCCTCAAAGATAATAAGGTGATAAAAACAACCAACAAGAGTTTGTGGAGAACAGATTATGTCTAACATCTAATTTTCTTTTTTGATAGGGTAAATGACCTAGTGGATAAAGAGGAGTTATAGACATAAAATAACTAGTCTTGTAAGGATTTTGTCAGTGTCCCCACATTACATCCTCATAAGCAAGGAATTATTTTCTTATTGGAAGCACAATAAAGCTGGTACATAACTACCTTACTTAAATAATTATTAATATATCATTATGAAACTGAGATGGAATTTCAAGCAGGGTTTTCCATGTAGTCTGTCTTGGACATAGTTCTATTCAAAATTATTGTTAATGAAAGGTCTGATTATAAAATGTGTAGATGATCCTGAGCCTGGAGGAGTTGCCTCCTCTTTAGAGGATGAATTCAAAATTCAAAATTAATTTGAAAAACTAAAAAATCATTCAAACTCAAAAGAGGCAATTCACTAATGATAAGTGCAAAATACTACACTTAGGAAGAAAAATCAAATGCAAAAATGCAAAACAGGGAATGTCTAGCTATGTAGGCATTAGCTAGTATGCCTGACAAGGATTTGATGGCTGAATTGGATTGCAAACTAAATTTGCATTAGTCCTACTGTGCTTCTACCAAAATGGTAAATCTCATTAGTGCTACTGTGCTCCTACTAAAATGGTAAATAATGGGAGTGCTTTGTGTAAGATGCAGGAGGCTGCTGTACTACTACTCAATTTAGCACAAGTGAGGCCTTGGCTAGATTGCCCAATCAATGTTTGGGCATTGCACTCAAAGAAAGAAGTAGAAAAATTGCAGAGTTCAGAGGTGAGCAGGAAGAATAATAAAAGGCTTAGACCATCTTCCTTTCCTTTTTCATGTCCTTGTGACAAGGTATTTAGTAGAATTTGCAGATTCATTGGAATCTGACAGAGCCATGCTGTGAGTGCTTCTGCTGTGGCTTTGAACTTGCAATCTCTGGGCTGTCAGGCGTTGCCTTAGTGCCTGCTCCAGCCCCGCCCCCCTTTGACCATCTGACCTATGAGGAAATGTTGAAGGAAACTTGTAGGAAAGAAAAGAGTTGAAAGGGGTGGAGGTAAATGATAACAAGTTTCCACTATTTAAAAAACTGTTATAAACAAAATGGTGATCAATTATTCTCCAGATCAAGAAGGACAAAAAGGAATCAGATTGATTTGCAACGAACTTAGGTTAGGTATTCCGAAAAAAATTCCTAATTGCTCAACTGGTGAAATACTAGAAGAGGCTACCTCCATATATAGTAGAATCTCCTTCTTGGACATCTTCAAGGACAGCCAAAAATCTGTGAGGTTTAAGTACTTGATTCTGCCTCAGTGCAGGGGGCTTAGATGAGATCATCACTTGTGGTCCTTGGTGGCCATACATTTCTATTATTTCCATAAGCACATGCTCAAGTGATTTGCTAGATTGGGCTTTACATGGGGCTAGAAATGCATTCCTTCACCACCGTTGCACAGTTTGATACTAAATTTCTTATTTTCCATCACCTAGGCTGTGACTAATCCACAGTTTTTGGGTATGTTATATATGCCCTGATATTGCATCTTGAATGTTCTGTGATGAACTAAAATTTATCAGTCTCATATGTTGATTCAGTATATGTTGATTAACCATATGTTAAAAATGCTACATTGAGAAAGTCTCTCTATTTTTCCTTCAGCTAATCCTTGTGAGCTCCACTGCCGTCCTGTGGATGGTCAATTTTCAGAGAAAATGCTGGATGCAGTTCTTGATGGTACTCCTTGCTTTGAAGGAAACAACGACCGAGATATCTGTATTAATGGCATGTGTAAGGTATTGGGTATGTTTGCGTGTTTCTTTTCTAAAATTTCCTGGGACTATTATGTAATGGGGAAATGTTTTCCACAATATTTAGGAGGGAACCAGTCCGGGGCGCTGGATTTCTTTTCTTTTCTTTTCTTTTTTAATTATCATTAAAACAAGTTAAGGGGGAACTGCTTTATAATCGCATCAGCCTCTCTACTGAACACGTCAACCTAATTGTTCGATCTGTTGACTGTTTTAGCCTCCTTTTTACCCATCATCAGCTAAGGAAATTGCATTTGTTTTGTTCCTATGGAGATATTTATCTATAGAGAGATTTATACAGTTTGTAGGAGGGGAAAGGCATAATTAGTTTAATTAGTTCATACTCCAACATCTTGAAAATACAATTGTAATGGTACTACAGGGTGCATTATTCATCAGCTTAGAATTACAGTCACAGATCGTCTAATATCAAATGACAGACTGAAGGATATGCATGCGTAGAAACAATAAAATATTTGGTTCATAAAATGTTAATGTACAATACTGTACAATTATTGGCAAAGCATGGAGCATATGATTCAGTAACAGTCCAGTAATGGACAAGAGGAAAGGATTTCTTAGGGTGATAAAATACCTTTTATTGGACCAACTGTGTAGTTGGAATAGAATTAGACAAGCGTTTGAATGCAAGAGGAAGAATGTCTTGCATTTGAAACTTGTCTTACTTTATCCCAACTACACAGTCGTCCAATAAAAGGTATCACCCTAAGAAATTCTTGCCTCTCACATAATTTCTGGATCATCATGGCTACAACATCACTTTTACAGTATTAACCAAAGCAATCAAATGAGACACCATGTGCGAATGTTCCCTAAAGTCTGACAGCATTTAACTTTTGGATATAATTCTCCACTACTGTTAGGACATGCGCACCTTCCATAATATTGTTCTGCAAGTACTTTCAACATCTTGAATAGTCAGTTACCATTACGTAGTAATAAGACAAAGGAATCTCATAGTCCTAGGGTTAGTTTTTTTAGTCCTAGGGTTTGTTTTTTAAATGGGATACTAATACACTGGAATTTTTTGTTTGTTTGTTTGTTTTTCTGCTAACAAGTAGTTTTGTCCGTAGTTTATTTTCTTGAAAATAGTTGATTTCTTTTTCCAATAAGGTGACAGGCTTTGTGGATGGAG